GTCATGTAGGTGGGAGGCTGAAAAGAATAGAAATACCAGTTTGTAGGCCATCAGAACTGAAGAGAAAGGGAGAACAGAAGGAACCATACAGTATTAGAATTGGAATTGATTAGACTAAATTTCATGGTGATACTGTAAATTAAACCAAGAAGTACAAAGGACATAGTAAATGAAAAGTAAGCTAGTGACATCTCTATGATATTTTACCTACCATCCAGAAGGGAGGTTATGGAGTACGTATGAAATATATACAAGTTGTTCTATTACAGATGGCACATATGAACCACTCATGACCTCATGACCAAGGCAATTTACTTCAAAGAGAGCCCAGCCCAATCTGGCTCACATCAAGCACATGCAGCAGCACAAAATAGAAATTCCTACACAGCAGAACACACAAGAACAGTATCACCAGTAGTGCACTCCTTCAACATCTGAACCACTTCAAGGATCTGGCAACAAACCGAACTGTAACAGGGTAATGGCTACTATCATAACAACAAACACAAAATGCAACCAGCAGGTGCTGAACCAGCCAGTGCCAACTATACAGGGACAATTACTATTTTTGATACAAGCCAAGGTGCCACTGGCCTTCTTGGCCACCTGGGCACACTGCTGGCTCATGGTCAGACAGCTGTCGACCAGCACCCCAGGTTCTTTTCCACTGGGCCATTTTCCAGCTACTCTGCCTCCAGTCTGTAGCACTGCATGTGGTTGTTGTGATTTAACTACAGAGCCCAGCACTTGGCCTTACTGGACCTCATATACCTGGACTCGGCCCATCGATCCAGCCTGTCCAGAACCCTCTGCTGAGCTTTTCTACCCTACAGCAAATCAACACGCCTGCCCAACTTAGTGCCATCTTCAAATTTACTGAGGGTGCCCTCAATCTCCTTGTCCAAATTATCAATAAAGATAATAAACAGGACTGGCCCCAATACTGATCCCTGGGGGACACCACTAGTTGCCAGATACCGGCTGGATTTAGCACCATTCACCAGCACTCCCAAGGCCTGGCCATCCAGCCAGTTTTTACACCCAGTAAAGAGTGCACCTGTCCAAGTCAGGGCCGCCAGCTTCTCCATGAGAATGCCATAGGAGACAGTATCAAAGGCTTTACTGAAGTCCAGGTCCCTCCACTGCCTTTCTCATCTACTAAGTGGGTCACCTGGACATAAACAGAGATCAGGTTGGTCAAGCAGGACCTACCTTTCCTAAACTCATGCTGACTAGGCCTGATCCCATTTGTCCTGTACATGCAGTGTAATCACACTCAAGATAACCTGTTCCATAATTTTCCCGGGCACTGAGGTCAGGCTGACAGGCCTGTAGTTCCCCAGATCCTCCTTCTGGACTTTCTTGTGGATAAGCATCACACTGGCCAACTTCTAGCAATCTGGAACCTCCCCAGTTTGCCAGGACTGGTGACAAATGTTGGAGAGCGTCTTGCTGAGCTATTCTGCCAACTCCCTCAGTACCCTGGGGTGAGTCCCATCCAGCCACATGGACTGTGAGTGTCTAAGTGTCACAGCAGGTCACTTAACTAATTCCTCCTGGACTGCAGGGGATAGATTCTGCTCCCTGTCCCTGTCTACCAGATCAGGTAGATAACTGGTCTTTCTGTAAAGACTGAGGCAAAGAAGGCATTAAATACCTCAGCCTTTTCCTCATCCTTGGTTACAATGTTCCCCTTCACATCCAATAAAGGTTGGAGATTTTCCTCTTTTTGTTGTTAATGTATTTATAAAAACATTTTTTATTTTCTTTCACAGCAGTGGCCAGATTAAATTCTAGTTGAGCTTTCACCTTTCTAATTTTCTTTCTACACAACCTAACAACATTCATGTACTCTTCCTGAGTTCCCTACCCCTTCTTGCAAAGGGGTAGGGAACGACCCCTCTCTTTTTTTTCTCTGAGTTTCAGCAAAAGCTCCCTGTTCAACTAGGATAGTCTTCTTTCTCAACAGCTTAAAGACATAGGGACAGCCTGCTCCTGCACCTTTATGATTTCCCTCTTAAAGTATGTCCAGCCTTCCCGGGCCCCTTTGTTACTAAGGGTTGTTTCCCAAAGGACTCTCCAAACCAGTGTCCTGGACAGGATAAAATCTGCCTTCTGGAAGTCCACGAGAGAGGTTTTGCTGACCTCCTTCCTTACCCCACTAAGAATTGAAAACTGTCATTTTGTGGTTGCTGTGTCCAAGACAGCCTCAAACCACCACATCTCCCACCTGCCCTTCTCTGTTTATAAACAGCAGGTCTAGGGGGGCACCACCCCTGCTACTCACCAGCTGTGCCAGGACGTTTTATCTTCCACACACTCCACGAACCTCCTAGACTGCCTCCCCTCTGCTGTGTTGAGTTTCCAAGAGACATCCAGCAAGTTTAAGTCTCCCATAAGAAAAAAGGCTAGTGATCACGAAGTATCAGCCAGCCACTTACAGAATAGTTCATCTGCCTCTTCATCCTGGTTGGGTGATCTATAATAGACTCTGACCAAGATGTTTGTCTTGCTAGCCATCCCTGATTCTTACCTATAGACAGTCTACCTTATCACCACTATTCTTAAGCTCTGAACAGTTGAAACACTCCCTAATATACAAAGCCACTTCAAGACTTAAACAACCATAATTTAAGATCCTAAGTTGCTTTACAGATGCCTGACAAACATCACTTAGCTCTTACCTCCCAGACACCTTCAATCTCAAGTTATCACAGTCCACGAATAAATAAAAAATAATCTTTATTGATGCATTTTTTAATGTTTTCCATTACGTATAACAAAACTGAAAGTTATGCATTATACAAAGCTCTAAACAGCGAGATTATATGATCTTTGTTCAACTTGTTTTGCAAGAGGTGGAAGCAGGGGCAAGTGACTTAGAAGTACAGAGGTGTGGTCATACAAGTATATGGTTAGAAAAGCCCAGGCTGACCTGAAGTTGAATTTGGTAGAAGACATAAGAAGCAACAAGAAATGATTCTGCAAGTAAATCAGCAGCAGAAAGGAGACTAGGGAAGATACGGACCTACTGCAGAACAGACAAAAGACATGAAGGTGGCAGATGTATTCAACGCTTTTTTTGGCTCAGGATTTACCAAAAAAGATGGCTCTCGGTGTTCTAGATCCCTGAGACTAGAGGGAAAGTCTGCATCTAGGAAGACTTACCCTCAGTTGAGAAAGTTGGGGAGCACTTAAAAAGAGCTTCTAAAGGTATGCATCCTTTTAGCAGAGGAGGACAACAGTATTTTGTGATGCATTAAGAAGAATATCATGAGCAGATCAAGGGAGGACATCCTTCCCCTCTTCTCAGTGCTGGTGAGGCCACACCTGTAGTACTGTGTGTAGCTCTGGGTTCCCCAGTACAGGGCAGTTGTGGACTTAATGAGGCAAGTTTAGCACAGAGTCACAGAGGTGATTAAGAGACTGGAGCATCTGACACACAATGAAGGGATGTTGCGGTTTAAGAACAGTATTCCCCGGTTTAGTGTTCCCACCGAAACACTCCAAACCATGGGCTGCTCTCTCACTCCCATCCTCCCTCCCTCTCCCCAGCAGTGGGATGGAGAGGAGAACTGAAGGCACAGAAAGTAAAGACTGGGGGCTGAGATAAGAACAATTTACTGGAAACAGTAATGAGATAAAAAGAACAGTAACAGCTATAATATCAATAACAGAGAGAACCAGCACTACCCGGCTCGGCCCCTCCACCACACTTACTTAACCATAAGGGATCTCCTTCCCCATCCCCTGGATATGACCTGAAGTGGAATAAAATAACATCTGTGTCCTAGCCATGCCTCCTCTTGGCTACTGCAAAACTTAATCCTGTCCTGGCCAGAACCAAGACAAAGGCCAAGCTACCTCACATAAACTGTCACTTGGATGTAAGTTTTATTGTTTTTCATCATTATGGGTACAACAACTAAAAAAAACCCAAACAAACAAGCAAACAAAAAAACTTGCCTAAAAAAAGGCAAAAATCACGTGGTAAATTCCAGTTGTGTGATTATATGCACAAACAAATGTGAAAGACATTGTGGCAACTAGTCATTGATCAATCTAAATATGTATTTAAACAAAGATTCTCAGCAAGCCCTGCATATAATCTTCAGACATTTGCCACACAAACATGATAAGTATGTCACAAGAGACTAAAAACCTATTTGAATTTTGATTAAATTACATCCATATCTAGTAACTAAAAAGCCAAAGCCATTTATTCTTCAGAAATTCAGAGGCATAACAGACTCGTAACTAAGACTTTAACTCATCTAAAAAAAATCTAAATATATCTGTTACTTCTCTTTTAAATCAATTTCATTGTAATATAAGAACTTTATTTCTAGTACTTAAAAGATTTTTGGGGTTGGATTTTGCTGAAGTTTTTTAAGTGTTTTTACAGACTTAAAATTATTTTTAGATATAGGCAGTTCCTGATATTCATGTGTCTATTTTCTTTTCATTCTTCCCAGCTTTTAAAGTACCTACAACTCTTCTACCATTTCAGTTACCAGGCAGTAGATTGTAGCAAATCACATAAAGCTTCCATGAACATGTAACTGCACAATTCTGAAGAGAGAGATACTTTGGGGCAGTAAGGAACACCGAGATTACCAGATTTAAAACCTGCAATATGTAAACAGATTCAGCAGAACTTCCGGGAGGGGGGAAAAAAAAAAAAAAATCTGAGTTTTCAACCAGTTCAAAGCAAACTCCAAGGAGCCAATCCCATCTCCTTCAAAATCAATAGGAACATGTGAGGGTGGCATGGTAACGACACTGAACCACTTGTAAGCTGTTGACATGGTTGCTGCCTCCCAGTTTTTCTATACCTGTTTTTGATTTGAACAAACTCACTATCTTTTAATTTATCCTAACTGACATCAAAATAACATAATTCTAAGTAATCATATGACTTTTTATAACACTTTGCCTGGAATAAAGGAAATAATGAACACAATTGAAAATAATTGAACATAATTGAAAAAAAAAAATACCTGTTATTGAACAGTACACTATGTGAGGTGCAATATTTTTAATGTCTTCATAACCTAAACCCATTTCAGCCAGTTTCCCAGGGATGTAGTTTTCCACAAAAACATCAGATGCTGCTGCAAGCTTCAGAAAAGAAAAGGATGAGTAAGATTTATTAATTAGCTTCCAAAAGTTCAATACATTTGTATGTATTGTGTAACTTACATTTTAAAAACTCACTAATCAAAATGGCTCCAGTCTTTCTAATAAGAGAGAACTTACAAGTCTAGAGATTTTTTTTGCCTGTTAGACTCTGCATTTCTGCAAATTACATATTAGAGATGCCGCATATCTAAAAGGAAGACTGTCAAAATCCTTAAGTGATTAGACAAAACCTTGATATTACACACTGAGATAATATTATCACATCAATTTCCTACAGCTTCACAACAGTTTACAGAACAATCTTCACCTATATACTTGCACTTACCTTGAGAAAAAGGGGGTAGAAAGAAGGTATCTTCATCCTTCACTTCTTTCCTACCTTAGAAATAATTTTAACTGGTTTTCATTTTCAAATCATTGATTACAATTAGACCAGCTTCTATAAATTAGTGTCATCACAACAGCAATCACATGCACTTTTGTTTTCGCATGTCGGCTGTTCAGCTGAATTTAAGACCAAAGAAGTCTTATTTGCCAAGTCTGCAAATATTTAACAAGAAAGACAGAAGAAACTGATTCTTATTCAGACAAGGCAGCACTCAACTTATAAATGGTTTAATTTGATGCACAGAAGAGACATTAATAACATTTACAATAACTACATGTGGCACATGGCAAAGCTGCATTTTAAAATATGTTATTAAGTATTTTTAAAGTGGCTATGTCGAGGACCTGCTGGGCCATAGTGAAATAAGAAACAGATCCTTAATTAGGGAAATACAACTGGGACAAGCTGTTAGGTTTTAATAGTATGCCTTTATGAAAAATAAAGTTAAGGAGGTTTTATTTTCCATTTAAATCCATCACAGTTCACATGTAAATACTTTTTATGGTAATGCTACAGCCTTAGCCTAATTCATTCAAGAGGCAAAACTGGTTACAAACTGTGTATTGCTTTCACCAGGATTTTATAATGTATGCAGATTATAGTGATCGTAAGGGTTAAGATGGTTTGAAAGTTGTTGTCCATCTCATACTGAAGAACCATCATCTCCTACAAGCCACTGAGGAAGAGAGCATGACACACAGTACTGTAACAGGATGAGCACCATACCTCGGGACTTGGTAACATGCATGGGATGACAACAGTGCTAAGTGAGGATACAATGAGGGCCCAGTTTAGCAGGGTACATACTCTCAGAGAAATGAATTTTCAAGACATCCTACAAGTGCTGCATCAGCTCCACAGCTAAAGTTTTCGTGGCACTTGGAAACAGACTTTAATGCATAAAGGCAGCAATCAATGTATGGTACTTCTTTTGGTGCTCACTGAACCCACCGTTCTGCCATTGTGGAAAATGGATTCAGGCTCTGATTCAAACAAAATGTGTGTTCTTAAAACTCAAAGGAATTTTCAGTCTCAATAGGGTTTATGTCCATTGTCAACTGAAATGTCACATTTTATGCCCTTTATTTATATCATTTGTATTTTAACATCATCTAACAGAGTACTACAACACAGACCTGAGTTGGAATACTATCTGTTCCAGATAGGAATTGATATGCTCAACATCTATGCCTCAGGAAATAAAAACTAGCATCATTCATGCCAAAGTAGTCATTATATTTAATAACAAGTAATGATGTTACTAATTTGATTAAATAAACTATACATATGTTTGGGAAGTTTTCTTTGGGTTTTTGTTGGGTTTTGTTTTTTGGTTCATTGTTTGGAGGGTTTTTTTGGTGGGGGGTGTGTTTTTGTTTTCACAAGAACTCCACAGAGGAGAATGTGCATACACATAAGTAAATATATATACATACACATTTTTTTGTGTGTGCATATATATATGTATTTCTTTTAATAGTTTGCTTTATCAAGTAAGAGAGCATGTATCAGATGCATTGACCCATCAGCTAAAAGTAGTGGAAGAGAAGAAATGCCATTACCTCCCAGCCAATTAAATTCTCCCACGTCTTCATGAATAGATAAGTTAATTAGTTAAGGCTAAATACACAGGAGAAAAGTATCCTCAAGGTTCTTAAACTGAGCTTCTGACAATAATTCTTGAATAATGTTCTAAAGAGATACTGAGCCATATTACTACAAAAGGATGCCAAAGTATGGGGCTAGTATACATACCATCACTGAAGAGAAAAAAAAGTTATTTTCATTCAGGAAGACATACAAATATTTGGAAGGCAGTAAACAGTAAGCCAAAAACATTAGAAAGAAAAACAGGGCTACAAGTGACACAGAAAAAAAGAAACAGAAAAGAAGACCCAAGAATAATTTTGTGGAAATCACCTAATCATGTATGAAAGAACAGACCCTTGCAAAAATATTTTGTAGTGCTGTGTCAAAGGATGAAAGCCAGCAAGGACTCCTGATAACAGATTTCTTCAGCTCACTTGATGTTACTGACTGAATTATCAAGTCTGTGCTGTGTCATACAACTGAAGACTCACCAGTCCTGTTTTTAACACAATTCTAGACTGAGATACGCCCTCATCTACCTATGTAAAATTTCTGAGAGAGGGAAACACAATCTATTCTAACCATGCTATCTTTCTTAATAAAAAAAAATTATAACCTTCTTACATTTCTTTGTAGTGTTTAGGCTCAGACAAAATTTATATTTATGGATGAGGAATCAGTGTCACAAACTTGAATTTCTGCTTGTCATCAGTTACTTCACAGACATGAACACTACTTTTTGTAGTAATAAATACAATACTGAACAATCTCAATTCTATACACATCTGTCCTGATATAGCAGGAGGCAACTGGAAACAAAAGCCTGATAGGTAACTTTCTCTTTACACATACTTTTAAACAAAACTCCAAACAGAAGTTCCATTTGAGATGCATAATGTTAAGACCTCTGCACCAAGTGCTTTCAAAATATATCACTCTAAATCAAGTAGAATGATGGACAACTCCACAAGTAGAGTGACATTTAAATAATGCCTCATCAGTTCACACTGTTGCTGTATCACAGATAGGGAAGACATTGATTTAAGGAACAGAAATCTATTGTGATGATTAAAGCAGTTTTATTAAAGGATACAAACTATAAGAGATTAATCTGTCACTGGAAATCTCATTTTCACAGTTAGTGGGGTAAATATTTAACAGATGATGCTGTTTTTTCCCCCCCAGCTCATCCTGACTCATGGCCCAGCTACCTTGACCTCTTCGAACACCTCCAGCCCACACATCTGTAATCAGTGGACACTGCATAAAGTAGCTTTTCTTTCACCATTCGTAAAGGCCAAACAATTAATTAGTCTTCTTATGAGACAGGAACAATTTTCATAACCCTTACTTAGAATATGACTAGTTTATCCAAAAAGAGGTCTGTGTTATACCATGAAAAATTATACCTAATGACAGTTCCTGTTTCTAAATTTTTTAGAAGATAAACATACAACTTTTTAAGAAATCAACAATGAATGGTTCTGTTCTGCAAAAAGAAAAGGCATTCCAGGATCCTTGACTTATAAACTCCAAAGATTTCCATATGAAGTACCTTTTACATAGCTAATAAGTCACAAGTATCAGAAAACTTAATCTATTTCCATTTCATGCAATATTCCCAAGAGAAAATGCTACCAGATAAATTCCACTTATGGCATGACACATACAGTCTCACTGTGAAAAAGTGATTGGAACTGACACTGAAACAAACAGTAACAGAAGGCAGCTGTTGGTACTGCAGGGCTTAAAACACAGCACTAGCAAGCAGCAGGTCTTATATTCCTCAACAAATAATAAAGGGATGACAAAGCACAAGTTTCACAGAATGGGAAATATGATGCTTTTATTAATTTTTAAGTAGAAAAAATGGATCACCCTTAAAAGACCCTGAAGTCAAATACTGAAAAAGAAACAAATACTAAGTTTGACCTACAGGACGATATTTCTCAGAAAGATATACAGCTACTGAAGTCATGAATATACTGTAACATTCAAAAAACTTCAAATACTGGAGCACAGTATCTCCTCATTCTCAACTGCTCGCTGACATCATAAGATCAGTCCATCTTGAATCTTTCTAATGAAGTAGTGCAGCAAGATCAAATACAGTAGCAGTAAGAAGAAAGCAATAGGCTATTAGACCATTTCCTGTCAATATTTCATTTGATGACATTTTTGTGCAAATTTTAGATCTAAAAATAATTAGAAGTTACACTGAACATTGAATTCAAAAGCACAGAGGCTATATACTGTCATTTACCAAATCAACTGTGTACATACATTTATTAATTATTGGACATCAAATTTATATCTGAAATGCAGAGTTTAATCTTTATTACTCGGGATAACAACAACACAAAATAGGCACACTATGCACGCTGTCAAAACCTACCTCTCTGATTAGTTTTACTCCTTTTGAATTCTTCATGTTGATAGCTATACTCTGGGGATTAAAAAAAAAAAACAACAGTAATTTATGCGAAAGCCCTTCTGGTGATCATAAGCCTCTTCTAAACATAACCAACAGTCAAATTCACACTAATTTGGATAAGTAAATTGTAACATATACCCCACCTCCTTCTACAAAAAAAAAAAAAAATTCTCTCTGTAGAGTAAGCTGAACTGTCTAACCACTGGATCAGACAAGGTCTAAAACAAGTCTGACAGATGTGCAGCTGGGAGCTGCACCATATGCAGCCTCTTCACCCTATGTTTGCACAAGACTTACAACTGCAAATACACATAGGGACACCAGAAACATTTGTTTCAATGGCAACAAGCCATTACACAATTCAGGTATGTCATGAAACTTCATGTTAATTCTGAAGTTTCACAAGCTACCTTTAGCCAACCTCACTGTGGTATAATGCCAGCACTCCTTCAGCTCCAGGTGCCAGCTGACGCACCTGAAAAAAAGGATCATTCAATTAAAATAACCCTTATTGTCAGCAGGTTTCATTTTCAGTCAAATTGCACCAGCAACTGAAGACTGGAAGGAGCACTTTTGCTTTTTGAATTTGCCTCAGCTGCCCACAGCACCATACCAGAGATTTGCAGCCCCCTTTGTTCAAAAGCATTCTTGTTTATTCTCCTCAAATTTATTCATCATAACTTAAAGCCAATGTATCTCTCGCTCCATTACATAATGTTAAGAATCCAACTAAGAAGTTTTATATATTCAGTTGTAGTTACAGAAAACTTAGTCTAATGTTCAATTCCACCCTCCATTTACCTTTTTATTTCTATTGACACTGAGAAAGTAAATACTTTCTTTCCCAGCAAAAGGTGGACCCCAGGCTCTTGTATCATCACCAGCTCCTGAAAGAAATATCAGCACAGATTCACAGTTTTCCAATATCACACTGCCAACAAATAAAAAGAATAAAAAGCTTTCCTCCAACATCCCATTTAAATTACCTAAACTTCATCTAGCAGGCAGGACAAATATTAGTTTAAAATAAGTATTTTCAGTTATTTATATCAAAAGCCACCTAAAAGTAAATGTAACTAATCAAAGTGAACAAAGTGTTTGCTAGTGCTGGGATTACACTTAGTCTTTAAAATACTAATACAGCCACACACCACCAGTGTATTTGCAGGTTTTTTGGTTGTTTTTTTATTCGTGTGTTGCTGGTTTGGTTGTTGGGGTTTCTTGGGGGGTAGGGAGTGGCAGGGAGAGAGGAGTTGGGTTTCTTTTGGTGGTTTGTTTGTTTTAACTTAAAGCAGAGCTCCAATGCCATTCTTTTAGGCAGTGTGGAAGAATTTAGTAGAATCTCTTGCCTGGACCAAGTCACACAGTGCACATGGTCAATAAGCTATTCCTGAAACATTCTAGACACCACACCAAGATACCACTGATAGACTACAACTGATTAAGCTTCATGCTGCAGAAACAAAAAGAAGCACTTGCTATAGCTAGTGCAATGCCCCAGCTCCAGCTCTTCCAGAAATCCTGCCTTACAGAAAATAGAAACAAATTACACAGAGTTCAATCAGAAAAGAGCTACAGAAGTTTCTGCATCTAGAAATACACAATCAAAGATGGTTAATCTGACACTTCCAGCACCAGCACGAAGATTTTCATTCAAATTCAGAAATTTCCCTTTTACAGTGAACTCTCATCTCCACTTTGCATGATTACAAAGAAAAATTTCTCCAACAAGCTAATGTTTAATTAACAACCTGAAAGTGTACCAGAATATTAAAATTTTTCTCAGGAGACAGTTGATATAGCATGCCAGGTCACCTTGTATTCTACCAGTCAAAATACTTGCCAAGCCCACTAGATCTGTATATTATTACACAAAAGCAGCGCCAAGAAACAACATATCTATTTAAATGTTCCTACTACCTTTCTTCCTTGTAACACTACCATGAAAATATAAGGTCGAGTTTCTGTTTCCAAAATTAAAGTACCTGTCATTTTATCAGTAATCTAATCCCGAGTAGTCAAATGTATTCCTATTTTAAATTATCTACCACACTTTTGCTCAGAGGAAATTGAGATGAAGATTTTGAATTCTCAAATGGGCAAACCACCTTTTCCATAACTATTATGTAACTAATTGCTGGAAGGATTTGTGTGTTTGCGAATTTTGCATGTTAAACTCTACACTTAAAACCCTGTTTTAACCTTCTTACCATGTTACAAAAGACACCCCACCATACTCATAAGCATTCACAATCTCAATTTAAAATCAAAGTAAAGTCCAAACAATTCAAACAAAATCAATTTAGTTTTGAGCAGGGCAATAAAGCCCTTAGTAAGTGATGACTCAGTATTGTTTTGTATATTAATATCTAAAAAAAGCCACCTGACCTTACAACTTCAACCTTCTCACCTCATTTCTAAATATAGACATAGACTATTTCTGACCAAAACACACTTATATGTAGCACAATGTTAAGCTTAAAGCAAATAGATCATACATGTATAAGCAAACCAAACCTACTCATAACCAGTTCTCTAACATGACAGAAAGAGTACCAGGATAAAAACATTCCTTAAACTTAAAACAGCTATTACTTAGCACAATACCATTCACAAAATGTCACCAAAAGCACACCATCAAGAAATAAACATAGTATTGTCTATCTAAATATTTTCAAAAGTTTTCATGTTGCATTTTCATTCGTATATTACTTAAAACACGTAAGCAACTATTTGTTAAGCTAGCTCACATTCTTATTATATCTAAAATGGACAAATAGAAATCTTACCTGGTTTTTCCACTTTGATAACTTCAGCCCCCAGATCTCCCAAATTCATTGTGGCAAAGGGTCCTGCAAGCACCCTGTAACATTAAAGAAATACTGTTTCCTTAGTTTTTTCAAACATAATATTTGCACCTAGACACACTGTTCCAAATTACAGACAAAACACAAACCTTGTTAAATCAAGAATTTTCACACCATCCAATGGCTTTACATTATTAGCACCTGACAAGAAACAGAAAACAGTGACTTTTATCTTAAAAAACAATAAAATAAAATTCAGGAGTGTTTCTTACTGGTTGTCTGAAACACTGTTTTTATGACACTGCCCCCTCACCTCCCTCCCAAAATACAGGATAATAAAGTTTTCTGAACAAATTGATTATTAGAAGGATATTACATTAGTAAAGCCTTTCAAGGTTGGAAAAACCTTATGGTGACATTTCAGAACATACTCTAACCACCTAGCAATTCTACAATAAAGCTACTTCTCAGAAATATTTCTTTTATGTGCCCTTCACAAACACTCAAACAGCTTTTAAAGGTTAATCTGAAGAAATATAAAATAAAAGCATTAGCAAGGAACATTAGAATGACACAAACTAAGAGTAATGAGTAGCAGAACCATGTGAAGTACAGTATCCTCTCAAAGTGTTTTGACCTGTGTAGACCCATCCACTTGAATCACACACAAAAAAAAAAAAAAAAAAAAAAAAAGGTTACAAAACTTAAGTCCAAACATATCAGCCAAGAAAGTACTCTAACTTTCAATGGCAGCTCCTTTACCTCACCCCTTCCAACATGACCAGCTCTAAGAAACAGCAGCAATGGCAATAAACATCACAGACAGAGCAGGCAATCTCTCAGTCTAGACCACAGATTGGCCAACTATTCTTTCTTCTTCTCACTCAGTGTCTTCAACTGCAGGCAGGGGACACAAATACTTCATCACCCTGTGTGGATGGTAATTTCATTACTATTGGAAGGTGGTCTCACATCACACACACAAATGAAATAAAATAATGCACCTAGCCAGTAACACCACAAAAATTACACGTACTAACTTGTGGTAAGCATATCTTTTGGATGCATGTCTAAGTAAAAGAAAGATGTAAAATACAGGGAGGGAGGGGAGGGAGGGGAGGAGGAGGGGAAGGGAGGGGAGGGAGGGGAGGGGAGGGGAGGAGGAGGGGGGGGAGGGGAGGGGGTAGCAGCTGAGGTCACTTGTCTGTTCAGCCTGGAGAAGAAAAGATTGAGGGGAGACATTGCTGTCTACAGCTTCCTTGGGAGGGGAAGAGCCATGGTAGATCTCTTCCCTGTGGCGACCAAGGACAGGATCTGAGGGGATGGCCTACAGCTGTGTCAGGGAAGGTTTAGGTTGGATACTAGAAAGAGATTCTTCCACCACCCAGAGGGTGGTTGGGCACTGGAACAGGCTCTACAGGGCAATGGGTCACAGAACCAAGCCTGACAGAGTGCAAGAAGCATTTGGATGACACTCTCAGGCACATGGCATGACTCTTGGGGACAGTCCTATGCAGGGATAAGGTTTGGATACAATAACCCTTATAGGTTCCCTTCCAACTCCACATATTCTGTGAATCAAACCAACAACAACAAACAACAAACAAACAAACAAACAAACACAAAACACCACGGCACTGGGTATTCAAGGCTTCTGTTAAAATATTTTCACTAACTGTACTGCTCTCAATGAGTACACTTGCATCCCACTGCTCGTCTTCACGAAATTTTCCTCCATTATTACTGATTACTCCAGGGAGATTTCTGTTAAACAAGTTTACGAGGTTTGGATTTTAATACAATATGCAGACCAAGCAGTATCGTGAAAACATGCTTATCTAGGAATGGCCTTTTGGAAAACCTCAGGCTGCCACCTCTCTTCAGTGCTGCACACCTCCGTGAGTTCCAGGTGTTGGAAAACAGTTGTGCCAGGTAAATGCCACCAGCCCTCAAGTAGAACCTCAGCCTTATCAAACCAGGTTACACGATTTGCTTCACAGTGACATTACTCTGTTTCCTGAAAATATGTAAACAGCTTTACTGAAGAGCACAGCTCCCCAAAACTAAAAATACATAAAATTTCAGTTAAAAAAAAAAAACAAACAAAACACCAAGGCCACCTTCCTCTATTCTTTCCATGCCTTTTAGAATTGCACTTTGTAACTTAATGGCTCACCCATTCTCATCCTGAGCCAGTATTTAGGTTCACTACGCGTAGCTGAGTTGCAGGAATCCATAAAGATATTTCTCAAAGAAGCCTATAAAGCACTAAGATTAGGCTGTAATTATGTATTTTGCATAACTAAAACTGATGAACCCTTACTAATTATCATATCACTCACATTATGGCATCATCTAACACATCATTCAGGGATTAAGACTCTTCCGTAGTTGGAACAGAATAGGAGAGCAAAACTGTTGCCTTGGAGACAAATAGACCATTGTGATTTTTTTTTTTAATGCCAATAAATAACAGATGTCCACAATAATGAAGAAATGCAAGAAACAGGAGAGATTAAAAGTTTCCTTTGGAAAATCTGAAGAAAATAATAGACCTGTCAGTTTCTTCAGACTAGAAGAGCACAAATGCTTACAAAGAAAATATATAGATTTACACTACAGCACTACAGCAAGTCACTAATTTGCTGAAACAATTACAATAGAAAGTGTTTTGACTATCAGAGAAGCGCAGTTCTGATCCTGAGTACAGGAATGCTATCTATTGTAGGCACATAAAGAAACAAAACAATATCACAAACAGACACAAGAAATCAGAATTGATCAGTATTAGCTAGAAACACCTCCTGGGGTTTTTTTTGGTTAATTGTTGGCATTTTTTTCCTTTCATCGTTAGCTTCCAAAGTGGGCATGTACCCCTCAGAGGTTTTTTTTTTTAAATCCTGGTTCAATAGTCTAAATTTTCTAAAAACGTGAACTCACATTTTCTCTTGTATTTTTGCTTTTAATTATTGCAGTAACCTGATGACTGAAAAAAAAATCCACTCTCCCTGCTCTAACTATATCCTTTATGTAAACTCTCAATTTCTGTGATGCTTGAATTTACTGTGAATTGGACTATCATATGTATCTTTTATAAATAACTTTGATGAAGAATAAAATGACCCAGTCATTCTCAATATTATTTACACTCTTTAGTTAAGCTCAGCAAGCTGTCCCAAAGTTGGCCTAACCTAACAGTATGAGTAAGGAACAAACAGAGAACAGAAGTTAATTTTCATGTCATATTGCCAAAAGATTTCCTTTATGCTTTTAAGTGACAGAAGGGAGCACCAACAGGATAGCCAATTAATGCATTTTTGCATCAATGCAAATTAACAGATCTCATTGTAATTACATTCAATTCCAGAGGACGTGGCTCCTCGGGTCTGTTGTCTCTATTTTGACTTCACAAACAACATTTTTTCCTTTATCCATGCAGTAAGTTATAATCAAGTCCATCACTACCGTGGATTAATTCACGATCCATGGGTACGTTCCCACGCACACAGTTGGTACTTTCATCGTGGGAGACAGAACTGCAAACTTGACTCTAATGCCACCAACGCTATCGTTACAATTTTTTTTTATGTCACTAAACAATACAGAAACGTGAAGCTAGAGAAGTATTACTTCGTTGCAGCTTAGGTTTATTTTCCTTCATGAAAACCAAAGAAAAAAAAAAAGGCACAACTGTATGAAGTCAGACTTTCGTAACATTTGGGGAAAAAAAAAAAAAGGCCTTAAACCGTCCATCTGGGATTTCCCCCGCCTCCACGAGCCGAGGCTGCCCCGAGAGCTGACGCGCTCCGTGCCACCAGAGCTCCGGACCCTCCGGCAGCGCTCACGGCCGCGGGCAAAGTCCGGCCGCGGTGATCCCGCCGGGAGCCCCGCTGGGACACCCGCAGGGAACTCCCGAGGCCACAGGGGCTGCTACGCTGGCCACCAGCGCGGTTGCCGAGTGCCCCCGTCCGCCGCCCGTCCCCGCAGGTGTCCCGCGTCCGCCCCGCCCGCCCCCGCCACAAAGCGAAGCAGCTCCGACCCCCGCCCCAGCCGCACTGCTCCAGAGCCATGGGCAGATTACACGGGCAGGGGGGCTCAACGCGGCGAGAGAGGGGAGGCTGAGGAGGAGGAGGAGGAGGAGGGCGCGGCGCAGCACGGAACAGCACAGCACGGGTACCTGCCGGGGAAGCGCCTCCGCTCCGAGCCCCGCCGCCGCTGCCAAGGGAGGCGGAGGCGGCGCTCGGGGCTCTGGCGCTGCCGCCGGCAGCTGCGGAGCACAGGCTCCTCCAGAGCCCGCCGCGATGCCCGCTCCCTCTTCCCAGCGCGGCGCGCAGCATCTTCGCCACTGGAGACACCACCGACCGCCTCGGCGCAGGCGCTGCTGCCACCGCCCCCTTCCCATCCCATCCCATCCCATCCCATCTCGCACCCGGAGCAGCCTTAAAGTGTGCGGGGCCGGGGGGGCGCGCGTGGTTCCCGTCTCGTCCCCGTCCCAGCTGACGTGTTCCCTCTTCCACTGCAGCGGCGGGACGGTTCTCATCCTCTCTAAAGCGCTAAAGCGTTCCCGGCTGGACTTCACAAAGTGGAAAGGCGCCTTGCAGATGTTTGCAGCAGGCATCCTGCTGCTTTGGAAGTTGTACTTCCAGTTCGGCGTACAAACTGTGACACGCGACATTGACAAGAAGAAATAAAAAGTAAAATGCCTGCTCCCCTCCCCCGCCACCCCCCGAAAGGTTTTCCGCACTTACCAAGGTAGGCAGCCACGCTGGATGCCATTATAGCCGCTCACTGGCACCAGGTGGATCCTTCATCTCAGTTCTTCACTGAAGGTGCAATATTACTTACATTGTAAGCTGTATCTTCAGGTGGGTACGGCTGTGGAAGCGTTAGCTTGAATTGACCTTAAAGCAATTAATCCCTGAGTGAAGTACACTCTGACTGTTTAGTCCTATTTTAGGTCAGAGCAGAACAGCAGTTATGGGAAACTTTGCTTGTTATAGGAACACCATAATGTCTTCTTGCTCTGTAACAGCATTAGAAAAGCCTGCACACGGTTTCAGCATTGATTTATAGGAAATATGATGTGACGATAAGACAACAGTTGCATCTCAAAAGTAGCTGAAACTTCTGACAGCTTGAACACGAGCATTAATGAATAGCACAGGCTTAAGAAATGTTGCATGACAGAATTCTGAGGAAGAACACAGAAAATCTTCTACATTACAGGTTTGTTGACTGGACATGCTATGCATAATGCAAAGAATGACATGGATGCTTAAAATCCTAGAAGTAATTTGGATTTGTCAACAAGAGGAAATTAATCAGCGAAATTATCCATTATAACTCAACATGTACATAACACTATGTATTTCTGCATTTGCTTGGTGTGAAAAGGGTTTAAATTAAATGAAGCTGTCTTTTTTTGGAATGAGACCAATCAGACAAATTTGTAACTTATGTTGATAAGCTGTCTTGTGTAAACATGGCATTCCTTGTGTGCACCATAGTAACAGATAGAAAATTGGTCTTCTAGACCAAAGGATTAGTAAAACATTAAAGTGAGCAGATTTAGTCTTTTTTCCTTTTAGGATTACAAGGATATTGTCTCATTTTGCACAGGAAAATTTTATGACTTAGTGGAAAGCTGAGTTCACTAAGAATATAAAGTTAGTTCTTGCCATTGAAAAAAGTGTCAACCCAATGCAAACCCCAAACGACTGTTTAAAGCCAAACAAAAGCAAGACTAGTATATTAAAGCATAGAAACATTCTGCTTATTTTAATGGTTAACCTGTGTTCTGTGCTGTTCTGAGAGCCCTCTTTAATTTTCATATGTTGCAATATCCTAAAACCAAGTAGTGCTGATGGAAATAAATAAATAAATAAATAAAGCCTTTATTATTTTTTTTGTACAGAGTCGTTGAGGATTTGCACTAATATACCTGAGAACAGAGCAGGAATGTTATCACCACTGGTAAATTGCTGCTAAATGTGAGGCTCTCCTCCAAGAGAACATTTTGCCACGAGTTTGTGTGAGGGAGTCTTTGCCTGAACTACTACTGCGCTGAATTGCTGGCGGTTCGAGCTGACTGCAAAGCAAACCCTTTCCATTACAGTGCTCTTTAAACGCGTCCCTGTATGTGCTTGTGAATCGGGACTGCCCTAGCGCGCGTAGGATGTGCAGGATTAGGTGTTATAAGACAGCAAGAACAAAGGCGCACAGGTAAGCATATCTGAAGGGCCATGAAGCGAGAGGTAAGCTCTCTCTTTGCTGCACAGCAGTTCACGCTGATGTTCGCAGCAGCTGCGGAGCCGCGGGTGTTCCCTCGCAGCACCCGGGGCTTCCATCGCCTCAGTTACCAGGCGCGGCTGCTGCGCGTCGCCTGAGACTCCCTTACTCCAGATTACGCCTCTTCGTCTGGAAAACGCGCAGAACTCCTCAGGGGCGGCGTGACAGGTCGCTCCGCGAGGCTGCGCGAGCCGCACTCCCACTCTTCCCTCTTCCCGGTGGGATGAACGGCGCCTCGCCTTCCCCGGCCCGGAACGTTGGGAGGCCGGAACCTTCGGGCCGCCTGGCGGGGAAAAGGCGCGGGGAAGGGAAAGGCCGGGGCGCGGCGCCGCCATTGCGTAGGCCCCGTTCCCGGCGCTGCCGTCCGTGTCCCGTCGCTTCCCGGGCATTCCCGGCCATGTACCGGCCGGGATTCCGCGCGCCCACACCTCCCTACGCGGGCGGCGGCGCCTTCCGGAGCCCCCCGTCCGGCGGAGGGCCCCTGCCGCCCTCGCCGCGGGGCTACGGCAGCCCCCACCACACGCCGCCCTACGGGCCCCGGCCCGGCCCGTACGGCGGCGGCCTCTCGCCCCGCGGGCCCGGCTTCCAGGGGCGCTTTGGGAGCCCCTCGCCGGGGGCGCAGACCCCGCGCAGGTCGCAGAGCGGCAGCCCCCGGTACCCGGCCCCCTACGGCGGCGCGTCCCCGGCCGGGGCGCCCCCGCACCTGCCGCCGCAGCACAAGCGCTCGCCCGGGGGCTTCCAGAGGCACTTCCAGGTATGGGGCAGGGCGGAGAGGGACACGGGGTGGGAGGGAGGAAGGGAGCTGCTGCCGCTACAAAGCCCGCTGAGCGCAGCATCCACCCGCTCCAGCACGATTTTCAGTGGAGAGCGGGACTTGCACCGCACTGGGCAAACATCAGTGTTCCCTCCCCCCCGCAGCAGAGAGGACGGAGGAAGCACAGCTCAGGCAGCTGTGAGATGAGGAAAGGGAAGAGGGCCCCGGGCCTGGCCTGTTTGGAAGACACAAGGGCTGACGAAAGTGCAGCTTTCATGTTTCACATTCTGGCCTGTGAAGGTAGAAGAGAGAATTAAGCACCACCCAAAACTGCAGAAAAGGCCTCTTTTTCCTGTACACGCCTCCCTTTGATCAGTTTTCTTCGATGCACTGCGTGCTTTTACTTTGTCTGTGTTTTTACATTATGGGAGGTTCCCTGTCCATATCCTGTCCATACCCAGAGCTTTCTGGGACACGTCTAGAGAACAGGAGTGCTTATTATGGAGAATTAAGCTGAGGCTCCTATAAGCAGAAATGAGAGCACCTCTTGGGATAATAGACTGTCATTTTGAAGTCTTCCCATTGCACACTGAAAGCGTCTCTTTCCTGAGAGTCATTCCCAACAGGTTCTGTGGGTTTGGATTTTTTTCCGGGTGGGTTAGTTGTGGCATGTGACTGGCAATGCACAGAGGGATGATGCCAACTTTATGTATGTAACTGGCTTTATGCACTATTAGCGAAGCCTTAAAAGCCTGACAAATGGCAAGTGCAGTGCAAGCAATGATAAATTTTTCAGGTGCTCTTACTGACGCTTTGAGGATTAGAGTGTGATAGTGAAGTCAGATCTTAATAGAGATTAGTAAAATCTTAGCGTGCCTGCACTGCACTGTCATATTTCCCTTCAGAAATACTATTTTGTTACTTTTTAGTGATGCAGTTAACTATCTTACAGGAATCTCATAGTTGGTGGAAGTGGGTCATTATGAGCTTTATATACATTCTTCAACACAACAGCAAAGACTCTCCTGGTATGAAAGCCAATACATGGCTTAACCTCTGTACCTGTGGAAAAGGCCCGGGATGTGGCATTTCTGCTGCAGATTCTGGAGGGACAGTTTATGCAGTCAGTGTCTAATTTCCCTTCAAAAGATCACTCTTTGGCTGTTCAATTAAGTGGCTTTTTCAAAGCTTGCCTTAAAGTGATTGAGCAGAAGAATATGCAGGAATCCTTTTGTCTCTCGTTTTAGTCAGAACTGTTTCTTGTCAGGAACAGTCCCATAGGCTCATTCACGATGTAAGAAACCCAGCATAGAGAAGGTAGAAGTCTGAATCCAGTCTCAGCTTGTCACAACGTTTTCCCTTCTCCCTTTTCCTTCCGTAGACTTTGTGAGTAGTTTAGGAGCATTGGCCTGATGGTGATGCTTTGAAAGACTCAAAGGATATTGTATGTCTGTAGCTCTGCCTAGGGCTGAAGTAATGTCTGTGTGTGCTTTTATGAGCGTCCACAAGGGCTGTTTTTTCCGGGGAGGGCAGTGGAGGCAATCACAGAGGGAGAGCCTCATAAACCACAAGTCCCCATTTTCTTTGGTGTGGACAAGAATCTCTCCGTGAGGCCATGAACAGATTCAGATAGAAGGCCTTTTTGCATTTTCTAAGCATCAGATTTCTTTGTGAGCCATGTATATTGTCCCCTTCTCTTCTGTAGGTGCTGTTGTTAAGAGAACTTCAGTGCTTTTGAAATCTGTGATGCTGCAGTCACTTTTGAGAAGGAAGTCTTAAGTGGTCCTTTAAAATCTCATCGGAAAATCCAAAAGACAGTTTATGTTTACTTCAGTGTTCTGTTGACGTCATGTCATTGGCATTCTGTGCTCATTTTGTGCTTGCAGACTTGCATTTTTTGAAATGAGCAGAAAACACAAAAACATAGCTTGTTTTTTCCTGAAATGAGTGACTTAAACAAGGGCCTGTAGTGACAGGACAAGAAGGAATGGCTTTAAACTGAAAGAATGGGTTTACATTGGGTATTAGGAAGAAGTTCTTTACTGTGAGGGTGATGAGACACTGGAACAGGTTGCCCAGAGAAGTTGTGGATGCCCCATCCCTGGAAGTGTTCAAGGCCAGTCTGGATGGGGCTTTGAGCAACCCAGACTACTAGTGGAAGGTGTACCTGCCCCCTGGAGGAGGGTTGGAACTAGATGATCTTTAAGGTCCCTTCCAACCCAAACCATTCTGTGATTCTCTCTTTGTTGTAATTTTTGAGTATCTCCTCTTAGAATTCACTTAGTGGTAATGTTTCCTTTTCTGCACTCAGCAGGAATTAGTGAACTAGCTGGTAGTGGTACCTAGTTAGTAGTGTGGATCAAAACTTATTACAGAAAGTGGAAAAAACCCCAAATCTCAACCTTATGAAATGGTATGGTTTGTGATTTTCATGTTTTATGTGTATGCCAGCAGCTATAATGACATCAGGTGAAGCTGATAAAGGGAGTAACAGTCCCCATTTTCAAGGCAGTGTTACTCAGCTAAGCAGTGTGTTACTGAGTAGCACCAAAAGATGTTTTCTACTCTAGAGAGAGACTTTTTATCTGGAGAAAAAGTATTGAGAACAGATTGACTGTTTCTTCAAGGAAAGTTAAGTGAGAAAAGGCTGTTGGCATCAGTGAAAGCAAAACAGAAAGTTTTTTTATGGTATCTTTGGCATCAAACAGTACCTCTTGTACAGAATGGCTTAATTTCTACAGGTAGGGCAATTTTCCTTTTCCACAGGCCTAAAAAAATACAGAGGGGGGAAAAAAGCATATGTTGACTAGCATGCTAGACTTAAATAATCTACATGCTTAAATTTAACACTTACTAAACTCTGTCAACCTTGTATTACATAATAATACATTCCCTAGAATTCAAACATGCTAAAATGTCAGTTTTACTGATGGCCTGCATCTTATTCTAGTGAAGTTTAATATTATTAAATAAACTCATACAAATGAGCCTTACCATTGGATTATTTTGTTCCTTCACTGAATACTGCAGATCATTATGTCAGCTGAGCTTTGTGTTCTGCAGATTAGACACAGCATTAAATAAACTCCACATTCAAACTGTTATACAATGTCAAAGGTATGGGACCTTCCTTTAATGTGGTGTTCTAGAGATGGTCAAGTTTTGTGGTTTTTTTCAGACAGAATGTCCTGTGTACTCCTGCTTCACTACTAAATATGAGGGCTTAACGTAAATGTCACTTTTGCTAGTGCATGTCAACTTTAGAAAACTCCATGTCCCTTACAAAGTTTTTTAGATGTAGTATGAGGTGATTCTTTCTGACCCTTGTGGGGTTTGATGCAATAAAGTAATTCTTCTGTTTTGAAATAATCGTCTAAGCTACATAACCTAACTACAGAGATCATTAGAAACAAGTGGCCTGTAAATAAGACATGGATGTTCCGACATTTGGTCATGTATCCACTGTCATCAAGCTTTAGGAGTTCTAGAAAAGGTCTTGCTGGAACCAAATTAACATGTTCCTACCACAGCACATAGATCAGAACATAGGTTCAAGCTGTTTGAGTGAAATCTGTTCTTCTGGCTAAATACGAGGGGCTTCACTGTATGGCACCATTTCTCAGTTTTACCCAGAAATTGTTTCATGTGATCTATTTATGTAGATTCTGTAAGGGCTTATTAGTCAAATTCAAATACCATCACTGCTGATTCAAAAAGTCAGGGGTTGGGGGGGTTAAGAAGGGGAAACAGCCCTTAATCATGTGCTTTTACTCTGCTTTACAAAGTCTGATACAGCCTCGAGGAGTCCTGTTGTTCTAATACAGAATGCAGTGGGCATGTTTGGACACCATTGTGTACCTGTAATATGGGTCGTATAACTATGGTAAAAACAAAATTAATTTAAATCAATACAGCTTTAGACAAAACCTCACTTTTTAGGGAAGTGAATCTGAAGAGAAGAACAATGGATGATGGTAACAGGAGAAAATGGTTATAGGCATTCCTTTATGTCATAGCCTCTCTTTAAGTTGCAGACTTGTAGCAGCTTTACACAACCAATTGTAGTGATCCTTGATCTTAAAAAAAAATAAATCAAAAGTTCCATGCAAAAGTCAGTATCTGCTTAATCACTGATGACCATTCAGATTGTATATAAAATAAAATCATCTACTCTCAAATCTCACAGAACACTGTTTTGGTCGAAATGTGGTTGTGGTTTTTTTTTTTCAAATGAGTTCTTTGGGTCATTTGTAGCTGTTTGCATTATACAACACCGTATTCAATCTGTAAGTACTTCATATCTGACTTCTGCCCTTGTTAATGTTCTCAGCTCTTCCTCAGCCTGTAACTCCCTGTTTTGTTATTCAGCTTTTGTTAGACATGTTGTTGACTTAGGCAGCTTATGAAAACCAGCATGAGGAGCTTTTCTGTATCTGTGTGCCAGAGTGACGTGAACAAGTGTTTCAGAGAAGTCTGTTGTGGGGCTCTTTCCTTATTTTGGTAAATCATCACCTGTAATTAAAAGAATAATAAAGTTAATATTTTCTGAGGAAGATGCAAGTGAGGCGTGGTAGTGATCATTAATAATCAGCTTCAAAGCTCTACTACAGTAGAAAGAAACGTTTTGTTTTGGTTTTTTTTTTTAAGTTTGAATTAGTCTATTGAATGTTTCTTTACCTGATGGTTTTCTTCCAAAGGGATCACCCAGGACATCTACTCCATTTGGTACAGCGCATGGCAGAGAGAAAAGAGTGTCTAATGATGTGGAAAACTATTACAGACCTTCAATGCTTGAGGACCCATGGGCTGGCCTAGAGCCAGTTTCTGTTACAGACATAAACCAGCAATACAGCAGTGAGCAAACAACATGTACTGCTAAAAAAGGGAGGTATTTCAGCTAACACTTTTAAAGGCCAAATAACTCCATCTTATCAGGAAAACTTTGGGACAAAATCTTAACACTTACACAAGATGAACAGTAATCAAGACCTTAGATAATGTTTTTATTTGATCATACGTCCACCCTTTTATCCTACTTTTTTTTTATTGCATTGGATATTTTTATGTATGGGATGGAAAAGGAGTGGTAGGAAACCTTACATTTCTGGCTATGTGGAAGTGCCTACCAGCTTTGAAGAACAAAGTGTTCTTTAATCACCAGCGACTGATTTGTGACTGTTAAAACAGGTTTCCATATACTTACCTCTTCCATGCCAGATTGTTAGCCTTTTATTGTAAAGTACTTTAGGAAGTGGTATTTTTTTATGTTTCAACATTTTTAGAATGAAGTAACTTGGAAAAAAAAAAAAGTTTTGTAAATCCTTGTTTTGTAATGTATAAAGAATATTTTAGGACTCTTGTTAAGGTGTACACATTAACACAAATAGTACTATTGAAATTAGGTGACTTCTGTAAATGTGCTTGTATGCTGTAGTTAACCTGTGGTTTTGTGCATAGTGATTTTTGTTAATTGCAGTGTAACGTGAAGTTGAAACGTGACTTTTAGCCATCTCAGGAAACAAATGTATTGTTTTTGGAAAGTTTAATTTGTTGAACCAACTCTTGAGTCACAAACTTAATTCTGTAATCATTTGCTTTTGTACTTAAAAAATATATTTGAATCAATATTAGACATTTTTGGATTATTAACAAGTCTGTTCAGTGGCAATGTAAGCCTAAGGAGTACATAAAACATCAAGATTAAATAACTGGAAATGTTCTCTGTGGGTCCACCTGTTAGAATAGAATAGAACTAATGACAGGTTTTGTTATACAGTTGACATTAGTTCATGTATAGCGTTGGGTTTTTTTAAATCCATAGAATATTTTCCAATTATTTTTTATTTTTACTTATGGCAGGAATCATTGCCAGGAGAACTGTTTTGTGTGTGCGCGTGCTATATTTTTATACTGAAGAGGAAAACAAGGAGCTGTTTTTTTAGAGCTTGTCTTTACATGGAAGATCCATGCTTAAATGCAGAAGTGAATATCATAATCTGGAATAAAAAAGAAATAGTTCTATCTGCAGGCATGCTCATAAATTGCCATGTTAAACCTGCAATAGTTAGATAAATTTTTGTTTAATGTGCCACTATTTGTTTGTTGATCTTGGCTTTTAAGCCAAGATAGAGTGTGAAAACTTTGTTAAATAAAACCATTAGTTTAATTTTCAAAACATATTTGTTTAGCTTTTAAAAATGTATTTTTGTAGTCCTGAAGCATGGTTAGGTTGAAAAGCCATGATAATCACATTAAACTGTTCTTAATAACTTGTCTTTTTGCTGAGGTAGAATAGTCCTGTATGTACTCTTTATCTGTTTCAGCATAAAATGTCTTGGGTTAATACCACCTTCAGGAGCAACTTAAAACTGTAAGGAGTGAATTAACATATTTAAATGTGCCGAATCTCTTGTACTTTTATGACCACAGTCTATGACCCCTGTCTTCCCCCAGCTGACCCTGTTGTTTTAGTATTATATCCCAAATTATATTCAAAAAGGCTGCTCAGAGAACTGAGAACATAATGCCTTCTGGATATCAAGAATGGCTAAATCTTCATCCCAGAATCAAAAAAACTGTGCCTTAAATGGCAGCTATCAGTATCATTATCTGTAATAGGTACCAGCAAAACTGAGATGACAAGTTGCAGAGAGTCTTTAGTATTTATACGTCAGTTAATTGATGTCAATTGAGAAAAGTTAAGTATAAAGTTTTCTTTCCCTTTTTTTTTTTTTTTTTAACCGTGTCAGGTGCTGTAAAGCTCACCAAAAAAAAGTTATAGTCTGCTTAACCAAGTTACCTTTTTTTGTTGCTATTCCCCACGTGATGGAATGCAGTTTATTTTTTGCCATGTTTGGTGATCTTGGAGAAACAAATATGATTTTATTTAAGACACTAAAGCTCTGATGTGTTCACAGTTAGATATGAGAATAGTCTGGGTTTGGAAAGGAGAAAGGAAAGGTAAAGGATTCCTGACAGAAGAGAGTCTGTTAGAGGTGGGACTTCTTACACAGTAGCCAGTATCAGCTGCCCTTGCACATTGCAAAGGTGCATTTTGCCACTTTGGCTTTGCAGTTGGCCCCGGATTTAAAGCCAGCCTCCTCTGGTAATAATTCTTAACTCCTGGAAGCAGGTGTCAGACATCAGTGAAGATAAACGTTCCAGAAAGAGACTTGAGGAAATATTCTTAATCCATGCAGACCATCTACAATGCCATCTGTTAAACTGCTGCTCCAGTGCACTTCAGGATATGACTCAACAATTATATCACACTGCTAAAGACTCCAGTCATTCGGTCAAGAATGCACACCAAAAAACTTAAAAATTATTTACCTTTCTGGCTTCTAGGAGAAATTCTGCAATTACAGTAAAATTTTAAAATGTCATTGTTGAATAGCTGTAAAATGCATGAACACATGTTCAGAACTATAAATATAATGTACTTAAAGCCAATTTAAGCTTTGCCTTTCTTGCTGTGATACCCAGGAAGCTTAAGCACTTACTTCCTCACCAGGTTTTTTTTCCTTTTTACCATATGGCAAACATTCTTTTCCCCCACATGTTTCTAATGGAGACAGGATATATCACTTCCTCATTTGTTAATGAAGCTACTTCGTAGTAACAGTATGACTCTGGAAATAGCATTTGATGATAAAAAGTAAAGCACAAATACATCCTTTCTTCATGAGCCCATGAAACAAAATAGTTGCCTGTCTTGTTAATGAAGGGATTCTTCTGCAGTGAACGTACTAAGAATATGCTCTTTCTTCAACAGACTTCTTAGATTTTAAGGTAAGTAATTTAGCTCCTTTTTCAGAAGTTTGGATGGATATACTTTCCATTCTGTTTTGTTTGCGTTGTGTTTACCCATCAAGTCTGTTTGACTTTCTATTCGGTTGTTGGAAAGGAGTTGTATATAACTCTTTTAATTCACTTGTTGCTGTTTGATCCTGTATTTAACACTGGACTGCATCGCTACTACACTGTGCTGATATCACAGTAACACAACTTAAATCAGATGAGTACCTGTGTAAGGCAGCCACAGACCGGGTGGGTAGTTACCCCAAGTTGTGTACTACAGTTGTTTGAAGTTGGGGTTTGAGGTTTCATTGCAGCTTTATAATATGGAATATTCATTCTTCTCTGTACACACCATTTTATATTGAAACTGTTAAATAATTTAGAATATTGAAATTACAATTAAAATGGGATTTTAAAAGTTCATATCAAGCTCCTCTTCAGAATTAGCAGTAATACATTAAGATGTAGCATTTTCCTAATGTCAGGGCTGGAAACACTTGCCAGAGAAAATGCTTCTGGTGAGCAGCATAGATAACTACTTTTGCAGTCAGGTTGTTTTTCTTTCTTTTCCTGTTAAGGGTATCTTTATGTGCTCTTCACTTTATATAAATTATGTAATTAGGTATCTGAGGGGGAGCATTTGAAACATGCATTATATGGAAATTCTACAAGCAGGTGTTCAGCTTCCTTCTAAAGAAAAGTGTTTTATAGTCAGTTTGGGTTTCAAGTTGTGCTTCTGAGTAATCACACTGAAGTCAGAGGATTTACTCATGCAACTGAGATGTGTAAGTATCTAATGTGACAGTTTGAAAATTGTATCATCCCTTTGTCTGTCAGTGCTTTTCACCAACGCTGCAGTTAACTGCTCTGCTTAGCGATTGCTCTGAATTCGAGTTCATATATGAGCCAAGACTGTCTTGCAAATTAATTAAACTTGTTCTTACAACATCTTCCAAAACTCCCAAGAGTAAAGACTGTTCTCCCGTCCCCAGATCTTGGTGCTTGCCTTCCTCCTAGCTCCTTGGAACTGGGAGGAAAAAAAGGGAGGACTGCCTACGCTGATTGGTGAAGACCCATGTAATGATTTTCATGTCTCAGGCTTTCAGAAACTTGTGTACCAATTAATATAGGTAACGAGATAGACTTTTTTATCACTTGAGATGTCTCAAAACAGCTTTTTATAGCACAAGAAATGAAAGAAATCACTGTGTTGCGCTCAACAGTAAATTTTTTTGCCTAAAGTAACTTTGCATCTGTATAGTAACTATGCACAAAGTGAGTCATATTCATTTTCTGCCATTTTCACTGAAATGTGTGCTTTGCTGACTTAGAATTTAACAGCACTTTCTCAACCTGGATTTCTGAATTTACTTTTACAAAATTGCTAGCTCTGGAATATTAGACCTCAAATCTAGGCCTTCCCTTTAAGGCATTTTAGATCTGGCAAAAAGAGCTTTGTCTCATCCCCGCTGCTTCCTTGATGACATTAGGAAACCTTTAACTAGGGCTAGAGACAGCTGTGCAGATGCTTGGAGAGAGACCAGGCCATCGAGGTACCCTTCCTCTCCTAGAGGTTACCTCTGCCCTTGCCATTGCAGTGCAGTGAGGCCCAGGAGGTGTGCTGAGCCAAATAATAAACCTTCATTTTGCTTCACTAGCTCTGTGTGGGTTTCAAACTATAACCATATTGGGGGTTTGCTTAGTGCATGTCCTTTTCGGACATGTCAGTTTTAAATGTCAGTTTTAAATTTCATCAGTCTCTTCTGCAGTAGGATCACAGGTGAGTTCCACTGGCCTTTGTTCACCGATCCATGGCTGTTGCACCTTGCTCTTCTGAACTATTAATGTAAACATTTGTAGGCAAGAACATAACTGTGGCTAAAAGGGGTCATACCAGTACAGTTCCAGAGTAAAATTTTTAGTACTGCTGACAGCACTGCTATTAAAATAACAGTTTCTCTGTCCCCCTTTAAAAGGATCAAAATTAAGCAGTTGAGATGCTGATCTACAAACTGGTCTGTGTTGGGCCAGATGGACTACCTGACCAGGGACATACCTCCATTAGCCCATTTCCAGATTGGGTTTTGACAGAGAGATGGAAAACAAATACCATCCCATTCCCTAAAAAGACAGAAAAAGGTATTTCTCAAAAGTAATCTTACACATGAAACAGGAATTCTTATGCAGCCTCAGATTTTTCCACAGTCTCGCAGAATGTGAGTTCTGCCTTGTTCTTCTGGAGAAGCACTGGCTTGTTACCATAACTTCGAGGCTTCCCATGACATGAACTTCAGTTAAAACCATCAACTCACCATTTGACCTGCTCTCTGACAAAGAAATCTCTACGCTATACTGTTCATTGGATGTCAGCAAAAAAGTTACACATTCAAATTCTACCAGGGACCTAATTTTCATATATTGAAATTAATTCTTCAAATTGTTTTATTCTGAGTATTCATTTTTTTCCAGGTAACAGTGACAGGATTGTGGAGAATGTAATAACTTTATGCCTTTTTTGC